TCTGGTTGATCTGTCCACTGATGTAAGTGGTATGTTGAAGTCCCATATTATGATTAAGTTGCAATCTATTTCTCCCTTTAAGTCTGTTAGTATTTGTTTTACATATTTAGGTTCAATGTTGGGTGTATAGATATTTGTAATTATTATATCCTCTTGGTGGATTCATCCATTTATCATTATGTAATGTCCTTCTGTGTCTCTTGTTACTTTCTTTGTTTTGAAGTCTGTTTTGTCTGATAACAAGTACTGCTACTCCTGCTTTTTTCTTCCTCTTATTTGCATGAAATATCTATTTCCATCCCTTCACTTTCATCCATCCACTTTCAGTCTGTCTATGTATTTAGATCTGAAATGAGTCTCTTGTAGGCAGCATGTAGATGGGTCTTGTTTCCTTATCTATTCTGCCACCCTATGTCTTTTAATTGGTGCATTCAGTCCTTTTACATTTAAGGTAATTATTGATATATATGTACTTATTGCCATTTTATTAATTGTTTTCTGGTTGTTTTTGTAGTTCCTCTCTGACCCTTTCTTCCTTTCTTATACTCTTCTCTTGTTATTTGGTGGTTTTCTTTAGTTATGGTTGCATTTCTTCTTCAAAAATTTTTTTGTGTATCTTTTATAACCTTTAACCTTGTGGTTACCGTAGGTTCATAGTCTACTAAATATATAGCTGTCTATATTTGGTTGCTGTATCTGAATACAGACTAAAAGTACTTTTATTCTTTTTCCTCCTTCACTCTTTATGTTTCAGATGTCATAGTCTGCATTTTTTTATGTATCCCTTGATTGATTTTGTGTATCGTTGACTTTACTACTTTTATTTTTAACATCATAACTTGCTTACTGAGTAATTGCTCTACTGCCTTTATTGTGGATTTATTTTCACTGATGCAAAATACTTAGCCTTAAGAACATTTCCATGTACAGAAGTCCCTTTAACATTTCCTGTAAGGCCAGCTTAGTGGTAATAAATTCTTTTCATTTTTGTTTATCTCGGAAACTTTTAATCTCTCCTTCAATTCCTAATGATAATTTTGCTGGTTAGAGGATTCTTGGTTGAAGTTACTTCTGATTCAATACATTAAGTATTTTACCACTTTCTTTGTGTAAAGTTTCTGGTGAGAAATCTACTGATAGCCTTATGGGGTTACCCTTGTAAGTAATCTTTTGCCTTTCACTAGCTGCTTTCAACCCTCTCATTATCCTTAATCTTTATCATTTTAATTATTGTATGTTTTGGTGTTGTCTTTCTGCAGTTTCTTTTGTTAGGGTTTCCCTGCACTTCTGGGTCCTGGGTGTCTGTTTCCTTCCCCAGATTGAGGAAATCTTCAGGAATTATTTCTTCAAAGAGACCTTCTACTCCTTTGTCTTTTTTTTCTCCTTTTGGTACACCTATTATGTGAATATTGTTTCATTTGGATTGGTCACATAGTTCTCTTAGCATCCTCTTAATTCTACAGATTCGTTTTTCTCTTTGTTCCTTAGCTTCATTTTTTTCCTCTTCTCTAATTTACATCTTATTGATTGTCTCCCCTACTTGCAGCAATCTATTATTCATTCCCTCCCTTGTGTATTTCATTTTAGTTACTATATTCTTCAGCTCTGAATGGCTCTTTTTCAGCTCTTTTATCTCTTTGTTGAAACTTCCCTGAGATGGTCAATACTTTACCATAGATCAGTGAGCATATTTATTACTGTTATTTTGAAATCGTTATCAAGAAAACTGATGATCACCATTTCATTTAGTCCTCTTTGTGGTGTTTTATCCTGTTCTTTTGTTTGAAACGTATTCCTCTACCTCCTTATTTTGTCTGGGTTTCTGTGTTTGTCCCTTGTATTAAATGGATCTGCTGTGTCTCCTGGTCTAGAGAGTGATGGCTTTATGAAGAAGGCATACTGTGGTGCCCACAGGTTCAAGAGTTTTTGCTCACCTCTGCCTGGTTTGCAGGTGGAGGTGCATTTGTAGTTGGTGGGCTGTGGGTGGAACTGCCTTTCTGCATGTCTGCTGGCAGTAGGTGATCCCTGTCAGCAGAGGCCCTTTGTTGGCTGAGCATTGGTGCTTCTGTGTTGGGTCTCAATGGAACTGATGGAGCATGCCTGTCCTCCACAAACAGAAGAGTCTCAGCCTCCTAGACTGCTCTACCATTTCCTGGTATCCAGCCTCCTTAATCACCAAAGCCCAGTGCAATGTGAACTTCTGTCCCAGAGCAGATGTCCAGGGCCATGTGTGCAGAGCTACTGGGCACCTATCCTGTCCCTGCTCTGTTCCTCTTCCTCCCTCTTGTGGGCTGGGGTGGGGGAAGGTCTGGGGTCCCATTCGATTTGCCACTTTGCCCTTCCCTGTCTGGGCTTCTCTCTTCACCAGGTGTAGATGATATATTTTGGGAGTCTTTGGTCGTGGTCAGAGTGAGCTGTATTTGTTGTAGTTGCCTCCTTGGTGTGTACGTGGGAGGAGGTTTCCACCTTGCCTTCCTACTCCACCATCTTTTCCTTGAGCCTCTTAAAATTCTTAAATGTGGTATTCTGTGACTATGTAACATTCTATTTTGAGATTATCCCCAAATTTATTTAATCATTTCTCTATTGTTAAAATATTTAGGTTTTCTTTCATGTATATCTATATACACATACACACACACATACGTACACATTTAATTTAGAATGACCCACTCTCATGAAAAATTTGAGTACATTTCCCATTTTCTTGAAGGGTTGTAACTCCACTGTAGTCTGTCTCTTACAATTTATCTCACAGAATTCATTTTACCTGTCTTCTTTAGTAAAACAACCCTAACTTTATAGCTGGGCAGCAGCACCAATGTTGGAGACTACATTTCTTATCTTCCCAAGTGGCCAAAGGACTGAGTTATGGTTTATACACTGTCAGCTGAAATATATGAGAGGTAGAAGAACAGAGTGGGCCTTTCTTTCCCCTTCCTTCTTTCTGCTCCCTGCAATGTAGGTGCGTTAGCAGGAGTCACTGTAGCCTTCTTGAGTATGAGGCAACTGTGAATAGAAATGGTATATGGTAGATCAAAAAGATGAAGGGAACTTGGGTCCCTGGTGTTATGGAGCTGCCACATTAGCCTTTGTCTACTTTTGGACATTTACACTAGAGAAATTGTTTACCTTTGTTTTTTCTACTCTTGTTTAAGTAATTGTATTATTTTTATTAAAAATATTTTTTGTCTTAGGAAGGATCTGATAGAGGATACCATTTTTTAATGTGATAGGTCCAATACAAGGAAATGTGCCTTGTGTCATGATAGATTCTAGATTCATGTTGAAAACTAAATCTACTTTGAGACTGGAGAGAATAATTGGCAATGGAAGGAAAACACTTAAAATGATATATAATTTCTGCATCTGTTTGATAATAACATTGCTGACTTTTGTTTTGAAGTGCTTTTAATAATTATAACAAATATTATTTCAGAAAATACTTGATAGCCTTTAGGCAAAAACAAAACAAAAACCCAAAACATAAAAAACAACCACAAACTATTGAGGATTATATATTATACTGTATCAGAATATTCCTTCAAACCCTGTAAGTTTTTAGTATTATTAAATTTTGGCTTGTCACTTTGACAGGGTCATCTCAAAAATGTGACTTTTAATGTTCTCATATTGACTTTAGTAGAAGATTTCTGATAAAATTTAAAAAAACATTTTTTATAATTGTAGACTTTTTTTAGTATTGATTCTAAGAAGTAAGTGAAGGAGACACAGGAAAAAAGAATCAACTATTTTTTTTTTAGTAGTTTTAGGTTTATAGAAAAACTGACCAGAAAGTACAGAGTACCCATATATTCATTCTCCCAAGTTTACACATTTTTATGTAGGGTTTTCCACTGCATGCAGTATTATACACATGAAAAAGAATTTACATCCTTGAACCAAATAAGTATTATTTTATAATAGGAAATCTATGTACTACTAATACTCATTGTACTCTAACCCAGGGTTTCACACCTTCAGCACTATTAACATTTTAGGCCAGATAATTCTTTGTTGTGGGGCGCTCTCCTGTACATTTAAGGATTTAGCAGCCTCCCTCATCTCTGCCCCACCACCTGCCAATAATACTCCCTGGTCGCGACAACCAAAGGTGTCCTCAGACATCTGCCAAGGCGGCAGATCACACCCAACTTTGAACCATTGCTCTAACCAATTTTGACATTTAGAATTAGCTGTATTTTTTAGGTTGGGCTCAAGTTTAAGGGGTCTATAGTTCAATGGACCTTCATACAGAAGTTGTGTACATAAAGTTAGACTCTTCCCTGTCTCTTGGGGACCTTAGCAGTATACATATAGTGAGCCTCAGTTTCCTTGACTGTAAAATAGGTAAAACATTACCTAACTTGAATGGTTGTTTTGAGAATTCATTGAAATAAATTATATAAAATACTTTAACTTTGGTTTCCTTCTCTTCAAATGTGCTGTATTGTTTGGACTTATTCCCTTAAATGTGTCAAAAACCTATTATAAAATTCTTATTTCTTTGGGAAAGGCTGTCATAGTTTGGGTCCTACTATTTATAGATTTCAAGAGTACTATAATGTGGGTAGATTGAAACTTTAAACAAATGTTGAATGAAGACTGATTTATTTATGTTTTTGACTCTGTTGTACTCCAGATTGTAACTACATACAGATTTTAACAGTTAAATGATATCATGTGTTCTTTCAATGACTTTGGAAAGAACAAGCTCCTCAAATTGAGGAGAGCATTTGATGTCAGCCTATCACTTTGTCCTTCTAAGTTTTTGTCTTCACATCTAAAATATCGCCAATTGTAGCAGCTTATGTGTCAGCTCCAATAGAGGAAGCTGGCCTTTGTCAGCTTGTACTTAGTCAACTAAAGACTTCTAAAAACTTGACATAGTTTACAGCTAAGTCCATTTCCTGTTGCTTCTTTGTAGGATAAAACATTGTTCACTAGTGTATGAAATGCCATCTGTAATAATTAAGATTTTTCTTATTCTTCCCCTATAGAAAATTTCCAGAGACCTGGTGAAGATAGAAAAACTATCAGAAAGACTGTAACACTGTTACGCTGTAAGTATTGCTTTGAAAAATAAGTGTAAGTTAAAACTATTTTAAGTATCCAATTTGGGAAAAAATATGTTAGGCAAAGATATTATATGTAAAATATAGAGGACAATATTTTATAATCATGTTAGTAATTTATAAGAACTGATCCTATGTAGTCTTCTAAAATTTGAAAATGTGTTCTGTGTTGAGATGAAGATTTTACCAATAGCACTGAAAAATATTTCTAATTCTAACAAGGATTGATCTAGTTTATGTAAATTTGCTTATTTAAAACTATCAGAATCCAGAAAATCATTGTAGTTTTGTAGGTTTGTGATTTGTTTGGGTGACTTATTGTTTAGGTTATTTTGCAGAATTATTTATTTGCTGATTTATTTATGTATTTCATTATTTATTTATTTGATTATTTAGTAAATTATTTATCTGATGAATTATTAATATATCTTCATGACATGCTTTAAATTATTTATAACTTAATTTTGAGTTTATTGCTTTTAGACGCTGCATTGTTACTGACTAGTTTTGATTTTTTTTCTTTGTGGTTCTTTAAAATTAAAGTATTTGCTCTAAGGCAAAAGTATATTCATTGCAATACCCAAGGATTTTTTCTTTTTCTCCTTTTTTTTTTTTAATTTAGTAATTGATGGTAGAGATGAAATTTAAGTTATGCTTTGTTCAGTTAGGCTCTAAAAATTTACCTGTTTAGGTTTACCAGTGATAGAATGTGTGTTGTATGCATACTGTAGAGTCACAAATTAATGGTATAGCCTATAGTTTGTAAACTGAAATTGAACATGTACACCTCAGTCCACATTATCCTTTGTGTATCTCTAAAGGGCAGGTCTGTATTTCTTACTTGGTTTAGAATAAATAATAGTCTTAGTTATTTTATTTTAGCTACAAATCTATTTTACTACTGGAGTATTTTTAGGCAAGTTCAAAGAAGGAAAGTCCAACTTAGACTTGAATTCCTGAGATGTAAATTTGATGTAGCCTTTGTTTTTTTAAATCCCCATTGTGTGTGTATTTGAAAACAGCATGATATTTATATAGATTTTTATATCAGTCATAATGACATATTTATTTCATAGAATGTTTCTTATGGAAAGTTTTATATCACTTTATTTTAATGAACTAAAACGAACAAGGGTCGTTATCAATGACCCTTCTCAATACAGTTTCTCAAACTTAAGCTAAATTTCTCTTACGGGAAGTTTCTGTTGTTAACCTAATAAGATATTCTTTCCTCTGACTCTGTTTCATAAGGTAGTTCGATTGTTAGGGCTCTTTTGCTGAACGGGTTTAATGAATAGGTTAAAGTAACTGGGTTAAAGATTGTCATGTGAACAACTTGGTCTTCTGTGTTTGCTTACAGTGAATTACTGTGAACTTTATAGTTTTAACGTTTCAGAGAGAAGCAGCATTGTACATTGCAAGTTACAATGCTGGTGAAATACAGTGAAAATGGCCTCTGTAGACAGGTTTCACTTGTAGAATTATAAATTATACATATGTATACCCAAATTTCTTATAAAATGTTAAATATATGAATATTTAATTGGATTATAGCTTTAGTATCTTCATATGCTTGCCTTAAAGGAAATGATTTCATTTGATATATATGTACACACACACACATGGATTCAAAATGTGTATATTGTACATATTTGTCACTTTTCTGTTCTGGCGATAAACAACCACAGAATACTATTAGATATGGACTTCTGTTTTAAAATGTGCTTTGGTTTGCCTTTTGAAGTAAAAAGAGCTGCCTTATCCAATGTTGAATAAGATTTAGCTGTCACGATACTATATCTACCCCAAAACTATTTAGCTGTCATGATACTCTACCCCACACTATTAAACAAGTATTTGTGTAATACTAGCTATGTCATCCAAGTGATCTTTCATTAGAAGATACACATATGCACATACACATATATGTGCAGTTTTCTCCTGACATCAACATTTTTAGGACCTGGTTTTGAAAATAAGTATTAATGGAGATTACCATAATAATAGGTAGCATTTATTGAGCACATATTATGTGAGGCACAGTGCTTATATCTTTTACATGAATTATTTGTTACTCTTCACAATGAGACAAGAACAGTTATTATCTTCATTTTATGAATGAGGAAACATGCTAAGAAACACAGACAGCAAGTGATGGCACTGGGATTAGGACTCAAGGGTCTGACTCTCAAGGGTCTCAGCCATTTACAGTTTGTGTGTTATACAAAAAATAATGTTATCATCAGGGTTAGCTACGTATGTATTGTTAAAAGAATGATTAAGTGTCTGATGCCTAAGCTTTTATAGAAACGACCACAGACATACTATTAACTCAAAATAAAGTGTTTAACACACAGTTAAGCATTTTAACATTTGCATAGAAAAGATGAAAAAGTAACCAATTGTCATGTTATATAACACTTAAGAGTAATTATTTCAAGGATTCTGGGGAGCCTTGTAGAGTAAGGCAAAATGAATTTGGTGCAAGTCTAAGTGAAAAGGATCTTTCCAACCCTGTTTGCTACCTGAAGACAAAGGGAAGCCTCTGTACTGCTGCTGAAACGCATAAGACAGCAGATGAGTCAGAGTTAGAGACAGCGAAAGAATTTGGGTCATGTTGGTGTGAGTGCTGTAGGTAACTGCATCGGTAGGAATGGCAGGATACTGTGTGAATCACTCAATGTTTTAACTTAGATTTTTCTAGTAAATAATTAATGTTACAGCATAAAGTCATCAAAACCCATGATTTAGGTAATAGGAAATGCCATAATAACTAAGATGACCATATAATTTATCTTTCAACTCAGGACAGTTTTGGGGGTGAACTGTAATATGCCAGGACAATGGATATAAATTGGTGTTTATGCCTGTTTCAAGTGCCTTTAGAATAAACCTAGGAACTCTTCCTAAGAGTGCTGTTCTGTCTGTATGCATGTTGCCATAGGAAAATAGCACCATGGTCGTGATTAGGACTTGGAACTAGCTTCTGAGGAGAAAGTGTGACCAGACTTTTTTGGGAAAAATTGGGACTTATGGTCACCCTGGGGATACCTCAAATTCCTATGAGTAATTTCCAGTGATCTTATATAATGTGTATTTAAGAAAACTCTTAACTCACATGCAATATCTTTAAAAATGTTTTATAATAACACTGATTTCTATTATGGCCAGTGTTTGTGTTTCTGTTAGCCAGCTAAGGAAGTTTGTTGCTATGACTTTATTTAAGTGTGACTCTGATATTTTACAGCTTTTAGAGCTTATTTTCAAAGTGAAAGTAAAGAGGTATTACTATTGGTAACAGAAATATAAGTATGACAAAGTTGGTCATAATATAGTAGATGGCTCCAAAGTTTTTCTTCACATCTTATGTTACAGGATTTTTTTGTGCTTATTTTGCCTTGTAAATATTCTAACTGATGGCACATTTGACATTGTACTGAAAACGAATCCTGTTTGTTTCTACCTTCAGAATTTATAATTTTACATTTGGTGATTCAGTGGCCCACTTTTCTTTTCTTTTTTTTTTTTACTTAAGAAAACCTTACATGTCATATTGATAAGTTGGCAGTTTTACCAAAACATTTATCAAAACCACATTTTGCTTGTGAAATTCTGTATGGGAAAATAGGAATCTCTAGAAGAGAATTGCTTAGGGTTTTTTATATAGTTTTAAAAAATTCCCTCTTGACATGTATTTATCTAATATGGCATATTACTATTAAAGTCATAATTAAATCATTAAATTTAACTCTCTTGTTTCTTTGAATTTAAAGTATAGATGATTTGTTAAGTTGAATTAGGAAACCACAGTAACATATTTGTATTTTAATGTACAATAAAAGAAAAATTCTTACACAGTAATTCTCATTCATTCATATGTATATTATCAGAATTCTTTTTGTTCAGAAAGGCCTATTATTCCTGGTAACAAAGGTAAGAGCTTCCATGTATTCTGCCTGAAGTTTGTTACAGTATGAAGTACTTCATGAAATACTACTATTGTTGTAAAAGTAATAACATAGCCTATGTATTGGCTCTGAGAGTAACTCCTTTATTATAATGACAAGTAAAAGTACAGCCAAAGGTCACGTTAAACACAAAATTTCTTTCACACCTCTTCTGTTTTGTGGATAGCATGTGAAGGAGATTGGGTCCCTGCACTGATATTTTAAGAGAGGAGCCCAAGGTTGTTCCCATGGAATTGTTTCAAATATCTTTTCCCCTACCTCCCATGTGGTTGCAAAATTTGGCATGAATGTGTATTTGAATCCTGAACTAATTAAATAGAATCTTATTAAATTTAGAGTTTGCCAAATAAGAAAGGGGACTTCATACTGCCAGGATTTCTTACGGTGCTAAATAATATTGCAATGTAAGACTTTTATAATACCGAATGTTCTACTGACTAAATGCAGTGTCTTACTATTGACCACCTTAGTATTGATGTTGCTCAATGAAACGGTAAACACTGAATAACAGCAATATGAACAAAAACAGAATAAAATCACCCAAATGAAATTATGTAAGCATGGCATACCTATACATATACAATCTGTTGATTGGATTGTATGTTACATTTTAATTTGGCTGAGTAAAAGTTGGAATGTTAAAATGGTCATATATAGGAAAGCTTTTTTATTAAAAACATATATAAATAAAATACATATATGTTCTGAGTGGTTATCAAATCTCTCTTAAGTATCCTCAGTACACAATACCAAAAAGTATAGGCCAAGGGAGGATGTTTGGAAGAGCATAAAATCAGCAAGTTATAATTTTTACTATAAATGATTAAAGGGTCTTTTTCTTTCTGGTTTAGAAATACATGTTTTCTGTTGTTTTCTCTGCCATAGAGTGCTTTTGCTATAGAACTTCTAGAGTAGTAATTTCCAAACAACAGGAGGTGCTGCCCCTGTGGGGAATTTTGGAAATCAATATGGGTGTTTTTAATTGTCATACTGATTGTGAGAGTGTTTTTGGCATTTAAT